CCACACCTCCCTGAGCCCCTCATCCCCAGTCCCACCCCAGAGCCTGCCCCCCCAGCCGGAGCCCTCATCCCCTCCGCACTCCAACCTTCTGCCCCAGCCCTGAACCGCCTCCCACACTCCAAACCCCTCAGCCCCACACCCGCCACATGAACTTTCTTATGTGCATCAATATGAAGGTGATGTGTCACACACCACCTCCATATTGGTGCACATAATAAAATTCATTCTGCACATGGGTTAGAAAAAATGAGAGGGAACACTGCCCCAAAGTTCATTGTCCTTACTTGCAAACAGAGCTCTCCTCTGCTCACACACTTCTTCCTATAAATCTCCTGTCTTTGAAGATTCCACAATCCTTCATTAGCACTCAGCTCAGACTGTAAATGGATGCCCATTTTGAACCAAACATTTCTTGCCAGAAAGAAAACCTGCTTTTCACCTTTCTGGCAATCAGTCCCTTGTCACAGATCTTAAGGACTGAATTTTCAGTGTATATATAACTCCTTATACAACATCTATACATACATTTTGCAATGATTATGACAACCGGTGTGACAAGCTTCCAGTAGAGACCTTACATGACATTATTTGGTGAACCCAGAGGATCCCTGTACCTGTTGCCATTTGGCATCCAGAGTTTCTTGGGTCACATACATGTGTAAATTAGGCTTTACAGATTGAGGCCCTAACACAAATTCAAATGAATAATCTAACAGTGTGCGAGCACCCTATCAACACCAACAGAGGAATTTCTTACGAGATTATCTTTCCCTCCTCCACACTTACTTTGCAATGTTTTCCCCAAGGTAGCTACTAAGGACAGTACCAGTGGTGAGCAAGCATTTCTCCGGCAACGAAATAATCACTTCCCCCGCCTTTGAGAAAAATCAAATAGACTAAAAGTCAGATTGAAAATGACCCACGGATGCACAATTCACAAGTGTAGAGAAATGTCCCAGAGCACACCAGAGCCAGGAGGCAAACGGATACAACCACAGCCTCAGCGCGGATCATTATAGTTGTAAAATTCTGGTGGCCCAGCAATGTAGGAAGTTTGTGCAGTATGTGGCAGGATGTCCTGACAGAGGATAAACAGTTTCTGGGCTGGCTGGCGACTGGCTGAGAAGCATCACCTTTCCCCTTGAACAGAATACACCACACTTGGAGCGAGACCCCTTTGACAGAGGAATTTTCTACTGGGCATTTACACCCAGATTATAGCTCCTTTGTGCCCCTTTCGAACAGGACTACATTAACATAAACTAGGTACCTTTTAGTTCATGCCTGCAGTGTCCACACAGGACAGTTAAAGCATAACATTTTGGTGCCCTTTGCAATTCACACCCCATGTAGTCCACACTGCCGTGCAGAGTACACGGAGCCTGGGGGATTCCAACTCCTGATTATAAACTATATCGTCTTAGACTCCCCTCTAGTCTTTTAGGCTCTCCCAGGAGCAATTTTGATTAGGGCCCAGAATGTCTCCAGCTGCTCCTGCAGTACATGTAATAAAAGCCATATAACAAACAAACAAATAAATACTAACCTGAAAGGCTTTTGTGGTCATTAGGCCTCTTCCCGTATCTGAAATAGCAGGAACAAAAAGAATGATTACAATATGGTATACAATCTTAAGACTTCTCCATAAGACTACAACAAAACACTATGAATTAAAACTGGTCTGAAAAAGGAAACATGAAAATGAACATATTTCTTATATAACATAAAAACCGTTTTTAAAAGTCCCCCATGGACTAGCTGAAGCTTATGTATGTATCTGGGCCAGATACTCTAAAGGTATTTAGACACTTAACACCTATTGATTTAAACAGAAGAGAGGCACCTAATTACCTTTAAAGATATGGGCTCTTATTTCTCTCTCTCTCCTCCTTTCTCTAGCTTCAGTCTCTTCTCTGCTGTCTCACACATTCTTATCACTGATGAAAGCCTTCATCTCTACAGCTCCTGCCATCTGAACAATCTTCCTGCATCCCTCAGCTTCACTCATTTTTTTTCCAAATCTTGGCTTAAAAACCACTTTTTTTCTCCCCTGCTTGTGCTTCTCCCTTTTTGCTAGTTATTTTACACTCAGTGTTTTAGTTGTCACTCTGCAATATCTCTGCACAGTTGTTTCTCGATTTATACTATGTACTATCTGCTGCCTTCTAATTGAATTCTGTAAAGATTTTTGAAGATTATTATTAAAGACACACACAGTAAACAATCCATTCAAATTTGAACTATTTATTATTGTTGCTATCTGCATTCCATCTCTACATGTTGATAGGTTTAGTTAGTCTGCCAGAATGAATGAGGAAATGGTTACAAGCTTAAGTCCTGAGCCTGTGAACACTTATGCAACAGTATTTTACAAATGTGACCAGCTTCTTTAAGGCCTATGACAGCAATCCTACAAGAAGTACTACATGAGTGTACCCCACTGCCCGTGCAGAGCCCCTTTGGCATCAGTAGCAATTTGCAACAGCATAAGAACCCCCTCGTGAGGAACAGCTTGCAGTATGTGGGCCAGAGTCTACTTGTGTGAGTGAAATTATTCATGTGTGCATTTGTTTGAAGGATTTGGGTCCTTAATGTCTGTACACTGAATACTCATTCCTGAAGAAAACCAGCCAGATGGGGATAAAACCACAGTGAGAACCAGACAACCTAGGATCAATAAGCAATTAAAGTATTACCTGAAAACTGTGCTGGTCTTAAATTACGGTCATCAAACCCCCTCTCTTTCAGCCACTTCCTAAGTTGTATATATTCCAGTATGTGACTCTGGTTTACTAAATGAAGAGAAGAGTGATTAACCTACAGCATACAATTTAATTAAAAACATGGTGCACTTGTACTGTAGTACAGTGGCTCTCAACCTTCCAGACTACTGTACCCCTTTCAGGAGTATGATTTGTCTAGCGTATCCCCAAGTTTCTCCTCACTTAAAAACTACTTGCTTACAAAATCAAACATCAAAATACAAAATGGCACAGCACACTATTACTGAAAAATTACTTACATTTTCATTTTTACCATATAATTCTAAAATAAATCAATTGGAATATAAATATTGTACTTACATTTCAGGGTATAGTATACAGGGTAGTATAAGCAAGTCATTGTCTGTATGAAATTTTAGTTTGTACAGACTTCACTAGTGCTTTTTACATTGCCTAGTTTTCTACAGGCTAATATCTAGATTAGTTGATGTACTCCCTGGAAGATCTCTGAGTACCCCTGGTTGAGAAGTACTGCTGTAGTAGATTTTTACCATATTCACAGAAGAATGGTCTTTTAGAACATGACACACCATAAGATAGTGAAAAAGGCATCAGTTCTGTTAGGTACTGAATACCCTTAATGTCACTGATTTCACTGAAAATTGAGGGTATTCAGCATGACCAAGAATCACTCAGCATGTTACAAGATAAAACTCAAAGAGTAATACAGTATCATCCTTCAACCAGAAAACAGAATTCACAAAGCTAAACATGGACAAAGGAAGACTAAGTTAAAGCATATTAAAACCAGAAAATAAAATGGTTGTTCACATGTAACGGCTGATGTCCATGATTACTCTTGTCAAGACATGTAGGAGTTTGAACATGTACAGACTGTAGAAAGATCCCTTGCCAAGTAACTAATTATTCTGTTGCTTCCCTGAATGCAAACAAAGAATAGATGAAAACATACAGTACCTCCATTTGAAGGCAAACTACTAAATTGTTTTCTTCTTCTCTTTCTACCGGTCCGACCTCTATTTTTCCACATGGTAAGAAAAACTTCACCTTAGGTATACAACCTGAATGAAAAATGGGAAAACAGCCAGGTTCTTTTTTGATATTTCTTTCAGTTCCTGCATATAAAAGATTACTCACTCCAGACTTTTACAAATATACACAAAAGAAATTAAAGTTCTTCATATTCAACATGCTTCAGCTTTTCATCTCTGAAAACGCAGGACACACTAGCACTTGAATGAGCAATGCGAGGAGAGGGAAGCAAAAAGCTTCCATCCCATGCTGCCGCCTTACCTAAGAACTGGACATAATCCCCTTGGGGAACAGAGGCACTTCCATTTCTACATTTAAAAATAAGACAGTTTCCATGCAGAAACATTATTAATTTACAGTTATGTTGATACAGTGACTAATATAACCCATATATAAAATTCACAGCAAGAACACTTAAAATAACTATTTTCAATTAAAAAGTATAAGAGAGATAAGGTGGGTGAGGTAGTATCCTTTTATTGGACCAACTTCTGTGGGTAAGACAAGCCTTCAAGCTACAACAGAAGATGGTTCAATAAAAAAATATTACTTCACCCACGTTGTCTCTTTAATATCCTGGGACTGACACAGCTACACAACACTGCATTTAAAAGTATGAACATAACACACATAATTTACATAAATATTCCATTACCTTTGCAGTTCATTTCTTCAATGAAAGACAATACTGGCATGGAAAAAATTAACGTTATTCCAATAACAACCATAACTCTGACCTACAACATATAAAATATTTCATAATATACCTACACAGTTATAAATTTCAAGTAGTCAAGTTACACATATTCCTTTGATATATTTGACTAAATTACTTGTAAACACATCTTACAGGTTAGCATTTAGTTGTTACTGCAATGTGGACAGTGACACATGACAATACTGTCATTAACTGAACTGAACCATAGCTTAACTATAAGTAAAAGAAAAAAAATTTATAGGAATTAATGGGGGCAAGCCATACTTCAAAAAGAAGACACCAGAACAAAATGAGAAGATAGTCGATTTGGACAGCACTAATTATGACAGTGAAAACTATTGTTGGGGTTACTAGGCCTGCCTGAGCCAGAGTTCTTCCATGTTTAAACTCTGATCGACCTCAACAACCAAGGACAGGAATTGGAATGTGTAAATAGCCAGTTAGCAATTACGACCTTGTTCATTTCAGGTACCAAACGATAATGATGAGGTTTGCATGTTTCTAGTTGGGGAAGGGGTAATAAACTAAGGGTAAACAGGACCAAATAACTGTTTAGAGAGAAGTTACTAACAAGCTAGATTTATAACCCTAGAATGATTTAGTTGCTTAAATGTATAAACATGCCTTTGGTAAAGAGGGGAGGGGGAGTGGGGGGGTGGTAGAGAGGGGGAGAGAGGGGGGCTTAGTTGTAAAATGTATAAAGAAGAGAGAGAAACTGTTTTTGCTGGTGTGCTCGATTTGAGACTTGCCTGTCTCCTTGCACCACTTTGAGATCTCAAATAAACTTCGATTGTTTCTCCACCCCGGTATGTTTATTGGCGTGAAGCACTCCCCAGGCACCGAACCCCACTGTTGCTGTCCTCGGGCCCCTGTGCCGGCAACACTGTCAAGTAAGCACATTATAGCATTGCTGAGTTCAGGACCACCACCACACACACTAGATCATAGAAACTTCTATTTCCTGACATTGGTGTTGGAACAATTTGTACAGTGGGCGTGCTGAGAGCCATTGAACAAAACTGTAAACCCTGTATATGATACAAACCACTTCAAGCAGGGGGTGTTCCTGCACCCCGAGTTCCAGCACCCGTTTCCAAGGCACAACATTTTTGAATATGCGTGTACGGGTGTGGGTGAATTTCCCAATAAAAGGAGCATATCTTTTTAGGGGAGAGGATGACGATTCTAACACACATGAATCACTTCTTCCACAAGTCTACAGCTGTAAGTGAGAAAGCCTATGTGTGTGTGTTTTCCCCCTCCAGTTCTGGCATCAGGCCTTTTCTTAACAAATGGCTAGCTCTCTAATAGCAGCACCGGTTGCATTATCAACTGCATACTGAAATGAGTAACAATATTACTTCTAGCGCCTTGGATTTTCAGAGCCCTGCGCAAGAGATTAAATAAATAAGAAAAATCTCTACCACCACGGGAGACAGTTATAACAAAACCACTGCGTTCACAGCTCCGATCGCTGACTGGAGTACCCCGGCTACATTTTCTGGTTCTTTCCGGAGTTGCCATCAGACAAAGAGCTTTAAAAAAAAACCTACCCGCTAGTGCCTGTAAACAATCCCATTCAAACTACGGCCTTTCGCTTACAGCTCCAGATCTCGCACAGATAGCACATGGTAAAGCAAAAACCTCACTTACACCCAAGCCAGGCCCCAGCGGCCAGACTGCTCGCGCTCATCCCCCACGGACACAGCTGCAGCGCAGCCACGTGTTTCCTGCCTCCTCTCCCCCAGTCCCACACCCAGCTCGGAGCCGCAGGCAGCCCGCGGACATATCTAGAACTCCGCCTCCAGCTCGCTCGCTCCTCTCGCTGTTCTCTTATCAGGCGTGAGAAACGTCTGTGTCGAGAGCGCTCCGCCCTCTCGGATCGACCCTTCTGGGCTGATGCATAAAAACCGTTGGATCTTAGCGTAGGAGCCTGAAGCAGCTAAAGAGGCTGAGCTACGTAGTGCCAGAGGTGAGTTTGCAAGTTGCTTTCTTCACCCTAGCACCCCCTTCCCCAGCGAACCCACCCCCGGGGGCAGCTTGCATAAAGCGTTCCTTGCAGCCTGCCTTTGCTTGTTACGGAGATCAGACCGCATTTCTTGTGCAGGGCTGGCCTTAGGGAAAATGGTGCCCTGGGTGAACTTGTATTCTGGTGCCCCAGTCCACATGGGTATGGTGCCTGCCCCCTATGGCCCTTGTGAGCTCCCCCCCTGTTGCCCCAATCCCTGTCTCATCCCCCCTCCTGCACCCCAACCCCTGTGTTGCACTCTCTTTGCTCCTAACCCGTGCACCCCGCTCCTGCGCCCACATTGGGAAATGACCTGGATGCAGGGAGCAGCTGGCATTGCTGCTCGCTCTCCCCCCTCTGATGCAGCTCCTCCACACACCCCTAAAAGCTGTGAGGGGGGGAGTGAGGAGTGATGTCAGGGCTCTGTGCATTTTCCCCACCAGGGCTGCATAAGGGAAGGACAGGAGAGCAGTAGCCCAATGCGGGGAAAGTGACCTGGATACATGGAGCACTCCGTGTTGCTCTTCGCTTCCCCTCCTCACCTTCCCCACAGCCTCCTAGGGGGGCACGAAGGAATGTGGGGGGGGTGTCATAGGTTTCACCAGGGCTGGTGCTACCATTAAGGCAAACTAGGTGGTTGCCTAGGGTGCCAAGATTTGGGGGCGCCAAAAAGCGGTGCCCTCAATTTTTTTTTTTTTTACAGCGTTCCTACGCCCCCTCCCCAAGCGCGCGGTTGCCGCTCCACTTCTCCCGCCTCTCAGGCTTGCAGCGCCAATCATCTGTTTGGCACCACAAGCCTGGGAGGGGAGGAGAATTAGAGCGGGGGCGGTGTGCTCAGGGAGGAGGCGGGGCAGAGGTGAGCTGGGGTGGGGAGCTGCCGCACGGCTCGGCTCCCCGTGTGGGGGACGCCTCAGAACAGAGAGGGGGAGCTGCTGCAGGGCTGGGGGGAGGAGGGGTTGCAAGGTGGAAGTTTCGCCTACGGCGCAAAACTTCCTTGCACCGGCTCTGGGTTTCACCCCCACTCTGAACTTTAGGGTACAGATGTGGGGACCTGTATGAGAACCCCTAAACTTAATTACCAGCTTAGATTAGTATGCTGCCACCACCAAATCGTTTAAACAACCGTTTGAGTCATTTGGGAATTCTGTCTTCCCCCCAAAATATCTCCCTCCCAGGTACTATAACCCTTCCCTGGGTAACCTTGAGAGACTTCCTCCACCAATTTCCTGGTGAACACCGATCCAAACCCTTGGATCTTAAAACAAGAAGAAATTAATCATCCCCCCCTTTGCTGGCAGGATTTGAGTTTAATTTCCCTTTTCCCCCACCAATTCCTGGTGAGTCCAGATCCAACCCCCTTGGATCTTAAAACAAGGAAAAATCAGTCAGGTTCTTAAAAGAAGACTTAATTAAAGAAAGAAAGGTGAAAGAAAAACCTCTGGGAGATTAGCATGCAAGCTATTCTCACAGACAACAGATTCAGAAACACAGAGGATTTCTCTCTGGGCATAAAAACTTAAAGTACACAAAAGAAAACCCAATTTGATTCCCCCTCTATTTCAAAAAGAAGTCACAAAAGGAAATAAACATAAGCTAATTTATTCCTTCTCTAATACTCACTACCCTGGTTGATTCCTGGATCTTTTCACTCGGGCACAGAACTTAATGAAGAGAGCAAAGGAAAAACTTCCATCCTTCCTCTTGAAAAATCTTGTCCGTCCGTGTCTCCTCCCCCCCCCCCCCCCCATTGGTTCCCCTGGTCAGGTGTCAGCTAGGCTAGGTGAACTTCTTAACCCTTTACAGGTAAAAGAGGCATTAACCCTTAACTGTCTGTTTATGGGGGGGGGGGGGAAGGACAAGATTTTTCAAGAGGAAGGAGGGAAGTTTTTCCTTTGTTCTCATCATTAAGTTCTGTGCCAGAGTGAAAAGATCCAGGAATCAACCAGGGTAGTGAGTATTAGAGAAGGAATAAATTAGCTTATGTTTATTTCCTTTTGTGACTTCTTTTTGAAATAGAGGGGGAATCAAATTGGGTTTTCTTTTGTGTACTTTAAGTTTTT